AAGCTATGGTCGAGCAGCAGCCATGTTTACAGTATGGATGGTCCAGACATTTGGGATGAAAGCTCAGGAGTTCTCGAGCTTATATTGGGGGTGAAAAAAATCGTACAACGTTGCAAAGGGGGCAAGACAGGTCTTCCAATAGTCTTAGGGTGGTACAACGGACTCGTACGACAGGACGCATCATCGTACGACATGAAAATACTCGTGCAACACTCGTTTGGGGTCTTACGAGTGCGTGCGACCATTTTGTCGCATCTGGATCGTACAATAAGTGGTACAACGGCTACAACGAGTCGTACAACGGGAAAAATTTCGAGTCGCAAGCCGTTGTAGTCTGTTTGGCAACAATTGTGAAAGGGGATTTAGATCCACCCTCGCCTATAATTATAACCCTGGTCTCCAGAATCCCTTCTCTATTTCAATGGTATATACCTCACTTTGGGTCACTTATAATTACTTGGAGGGGCATAATGATTTACATTGGGGAAGGCTGGGGTGTTAGGGTTGAGATTCAGGAGAGAGGCCATAAGGAACTATTTCTACGAAATATTGCGGAAATAAAAAGTTTGTCATCATATCGAAATCCAGGTCAAAGTTCAACATTCGTGAATATAACAATGATAACAGCAAAAGACGCGCTAGTAATAAAGTGAAGTGAATTCTGAAGACTGAATGCTCTTTTCGAACTTTGTATACGAAGCCCCGTCCTTGTCCTACAATGGCAACCGACGCTTGTTTTGGTATTAAATTAAAACCAATATTCTCATGTTTTATTGTTAATATTTGTAATACAGTAAGACACAACGGAGGATTACAATAAAATATCTTATGTTTAATCGTAATGTCAAAAATAGAATGTGACACAACACTATATACTAGTTCAGCCACTTAATTTTAAATCAATCCAATGACACTAAGAAGCAGATACGTCTTTTTGTCTGACTAAATAAAGGTTGTAACAAAAAATCAATATAATATAATACAACAAATATTATCAAATCTACTCCTCCTTAATCGAATGTAGTATAGTCAATATCATATCTAATTGAAAATGTTTTGGCCTTGAAAGGAGACAATAAAATGGAGATTACACAATAATATAATGTAATATGACTGGTACACTCCTATCAGTGTACACGAGTGTTATAGATAACCAATATTGCAATTCAGTTGAATATTATTTCAAAAGTACAATCCCTTTCACACAGCAAACTAACTTCTTGTCCGATTGTGACTGAGACATAATTGGCCATAGGTATTTCTCTATTACGCCATCGTGTCCATTCTTTTTTGGACCTCTTGTATAATCTATATATACTTCGTGGCGTAGAGGGTTATGTTTTTTACCGATGCCACTTTTCAGGTCAATTTCTAATGGAGGAGTTAACACGACCATCTCCCAGGATAACCGACAACATTGACGAATATATTCGCTGAGACAACTGCGAACATCTTCGTGTTTTTTCTTGTTGATCTTTTTGTAAATCTTTTTCTGCTTCTTTTTGAACTCGTTCATGACTTCCTGGAGACACGTGTAAAGGAAGGAAAAAATAAGTAACGCAAGGCATCAAGATCAGTATTAGTCTATCTCAAAAAGTTTTCATGAGGCGTCACGGTGAGAACAGGTCCGCGCCATTCATAGAATGATCTATGTGGGAATGAAAGGGTATGTAGCCAAAGTAGATAAAATATCCGGCCCCATGCTCTGTATTGTCCTCAATTTACGCACAAAATATGACTAGCGGAGGACACTTTGAAGACTGATACATATTGACTCAATAAATGAAGTAACATAAATACACCACAGTCACATAAATATGAATAGTTTCATTGACATTGAATAATTTCAAGAAAATATATTAAACAAATCCGTACCTCCAATATGTCTTCAATGTTTTCGACGTGAGCTCTTCGCTCAATGAAATAATTCATTTCCGGTACTCTCACTGTGTTGGTTACAGCAACGTCTTTTTTCTAAAGACAATTATACAGAATGTGAATATAACTAAACAACACCTATAGTTGAGCTTTGTAATACCATAAGTATCCACACTGGAAGTGTGTGTGCCATTATTTAATATAAAGATACACAAATTATTACAAACCCATCGGATTTCTATTTTCTGACATAATAGTTGTTTCGGTGTACCTGTTTGAATGCTTACCCTCTTAGTTGATGCAAAGATTGAGCTTCTCCTAGATATACTTTTCGTCTTCCTTCTGACAGGGTTATCAATAACAATTGCCATCCGAGAATGATAATCCTCTAAAGCTTTATTTGCCAGATTATAAGCATCCTAAAACAAATGTAACACATTTTTATCTCCTTGCAATAAACACTGTTTGGAGTAACAATATTAAGGAGGGTTTTTGAACAAAGCAAATCCGAAAGAAAAACTTCCAGATTTTTGATGTGAAAGGATGGGGAAAATGTAATTCAAAAAATGTGATATAAAACTGCAAAAAATAATGAATTGCGTTACATTCTAACATTTTTTAACAGCTCTATAGTACTGATAATTTAAGTGCCCGAAAGAAACATTACCTGGAAAATTTCGACAGCTATGCAACATGCTTCAAGAGGTGAAACAACGTTCTCCAGTTGTTCAATAAACGTCATTCGCCCTCCATCTATAAAGTACTTATACTCATCAATTACTTTTCCTGGCCGATTTACGTTACTGATATCTTCAACATCAGCGTCATAAGCCCCGGTAGTTGCCATGGTTACATCAAACATCCTGTGAAAAATTTTAACATTCAGCAACAGAACAGTCTGGAAAGACAGTATCATGATTATGGACAGTTATACTCACCCATCACTTTATTCCATCACAACATCCCACCCACTCACTCGACGCACCTACTCACTCACTCAATATATTTTTCTTTGTCATGACGAAATCCTAAATCACAAAATTTATCTAATCATATTATAGTGGTCACATTAGTCATAGGTTACAGTGATTTAGATTTTCTTAGTGAAGAATGTGTTACTGTACATAACAGACTCAGCGATAAGGCCGCGTTGTCCGTACTGAAAAAAGCTCGAATTATTAGCGCGATGCGGGGACACGAGTACTCCGAGGTTCACTGTGTGTACAAAATGTGACACACATGTATTCATTGTGCGTGTAACCTAAATGAAAATAAATGAGATCTACAGTGCGGTATGTTATTTTCACTCTGTATCACATCCGATAAACAAAATAACTAGCATCCGTTATGTGAATACAACGCAATTCGCCCACACTCAGCGACTCGCGGATCGTATACTCAGATACTTGCTTTTTGTTAATTTGATGACTATGTCACAGTGTTAGGCCCGCTTATTGCTATTGAGAGGGGCCCCCACAGAACTCAAATTGGACAAGAGGTTCTTTCACTGCTAGAATGGGGTGGACAAGACTGGAGTTGGAATACACATACACCAAAATATCAAGTTAAAGCTCCTGTCTTTAATACCTCTCGAAATAATTATACAAGAAACAAAGCACAGAATAATACAATGAATAAATTCACTAAAAGAGGGGATTGCTTAGGAAAGTGTGCATTGTTGAAAACTCACAGTTACAGGATTTGGAAGGTGAAGACAGTCAATGGCTTCTGCAACACAACAACGAAGAGATACAGGAGTCTTGCTTGCTAAGGAACCCTGTTATTCTGGAGGGTACCGCAAATAACAGAAGATCGCAGAGCAGTTCATACAAGTCTCACAGAATGATAATTGAAGCCTGTATCACTTGTATGACGACAGAGTACTCTGCATAAATGCATAAATGGTCCAGTTAGGTACACCACCTGGGTTTTCTCAGAAGCCAATCAGAATGTGGTCTTGCTAGCAGGTGCCTCACGATGACATGCAGGCACTCATGTAGGCTATTCAGTAGATCGTAAACATCCTTTGTTATATAAATCACAAGCACACCTGGCAGATCCCACTGTCCTTCCAGAGTTGAAAACAAGTATGACCTGTCAATGACTTTTATGACAGTTATCCCACTGCAATACACATCGTTTCTCACATGATTCCATGCACTCTTACAGGGTTTCAGGTAATATAAATAACATAGGGTAAAGAAGCTACCAATGTAAGTTCATATGAACCAAAGCGGGCCTGGGATTATATCCACACCAACATCTTATATCACATTTGAAGGAGTCTAACAGGTGTCGTCAGTTCTTTCATTCCGTATACCCCTATGTTGGCCATAGACCTGTGTTAAGCCACTATTTTGGTATTTGCCACTATTTTGGTACCCGCGAAAATTAAAACCAACGTCCTCTTGCTCTTTGTTATTATTTTTCTTCACAAGTCAATAAATCTCATAATTCTGAATAATTCTGGACAGTTTGTGTATAATTTGGAGTAATTTGTTATGTTTAATTTAAGTTTTCTTTACTTGCGCATCTTTTCAGACCGAATTGTCATCTTTTTGACGCAGACACAGTGACGCTAACTTAGGGGGTATTACAATCGGCTGTCCTAACAGCCATATCGCGGAGCTCAATTCAACTGTCGTACTTTTAAAAATCAATTGCATAGCATATCCGTCGCCGATTGAAATGGTGTTAGTGCATCGAAACTGTTCGGCGAAGCTGCTAGGTAAGTATATGACGATTCAATACTAATATTGATATTTACTAGCTAGCTATC